ACCCTCCGACACCCCCAGCCGGTCACAGGGCAAGAGAGGCAGCCCCGCAATGACCGGTCCCGGGATGGCCGGGATGGGAGCGCGGCCACCCTGGACTCCGCCCGCCGCGTCTACTCCCCGCGCAGCCCCGCGGGCTGAGCCCCCTCGGGCCAGTGGCTTCCCCTCCCCCAGCCTCAGATTCCTCGTTGCTCACCCACAGCGCGCCCACTTTGCGGCTGGGGGTGAGGGTCTCGGCAGAACTGGAAGGGAAACTGCGCCCGGAGAGTGGGGTCAGCTGCCGTTGCCCTTGGCTTCCGCGCAGGGCAGCTGGCTCGGTGGGGAACAGGCTTTGATCTCCACTGCTCCCGGGGGCGGGGCCTGAATCAGCCTGGGACTCGCTACCCCCCCCCCCGCCCTCTGCCCCCCCGGTGCCCGGCGGGGGGGGCGGCCCCCCCGCCCCCCCCGCGCCGCCCCCCCCCCCCCCCCCCACCCCCCCGCCTCCTCCAAAACCTCCTCTCCGCCCACCTCCCACTCCCTGCGGTCCCTCTGGGCTTCTGGGTGGGCAGAGTAGCCCTCTGACATCCATGGGGAAATCAAGGCTCAGAGAAGGGACAGGCTTGCTCAGGGTCACACAGCAAATTGGCCAGAGGGTAGCAGCCAAACCTGCGCTCCCGCCAGGACTGGACTTCCCCCGTGTGTTCCATGGGGACTGGGACGTGCCTGGTGCCCATACCGGCTGCCCGGCCTGTGGGACAGGGATTCCCTTCCGGCTCTGAGCCCTGCTGGCTGCGGTGGGTTGGGAGTGGGCACCCATGTCCCCTCCTCACCAGCAATGCAGTCACAGCCACAGACGGTGTGGCTGAGCCCAGGGCCAGACCTAGTGTGAGATCCTGGGCTGCTTCTCCTGGAATACTGAGTACAATTCCGGGGGCACTGGGCCCGAAGGTGCTTGTGGACCGGTTTTAAGGAAGGGCTTTTGTTGTTGAACCATCACAGGACTATTTACGTAGCCTGTTTCTCCTTGTGCGGTGCTCGCAGTGTTATTTCTCTAGGAATATGTCCAATTCCTCTACATTTTCAGATTTATTGGCATAAAGTTTATAATTTCCTCATTTCAATTTTATGTAGAATTTAAACATTTTGGGGGAAAGGTACAAATCATATGTGTGTAGCTGGATGCATTTTCCCAAAGTGGACACACTGGTGTAACCAGTACCCCTTATCCTCACCAGAGGCCTCTCCCCCGCTGGTCTGCCCCCTCCCAAAGGACTTCCAACACCAGTGCACCTGTGAACTGCATGCAGCGGGTTCTGTTTGAGCTCTTTATGTCTAGCTCTATTGCAGCACTAAGTTTGTGAAATTCACCCACACTGTCTGTGGATGCAGTTCATCGGACAGAGACTCCCAAGTTCTTTTCGTTCTACTGTTTTTTTTGGCGGTGCGGCACATCATGTGGGATCTTACTTCCCGACCAGGGGTTGAACCCGTGTCCCCTGCATTGGATTCTTAACAACTGTGCCACCAGGGAAGTCCCTAATTTAATAATTTTAACAATTAATCAGTTGTTTCCTTTAAGGCTAGTGCTGTCCGTGTCCTGGTTAAGAATTGTTTCCCTATCCCCAGTGTCATTTTGGTTTATCTTCTGGAAACTGTATCGTTAAACTTTGGATCTGCAATCCACATGGAATTAATACTTCCTGGGGCTGACCTAGGGGTCGATATCAATATTATTCCCTGTGAATTTCCAGTGGACCTCACACTGCTGACTGAAAAGATCATTACTTTCCCACAGCGCTATATCTGTATGAGTCTGGTTCCGGGACTTTTGTTTTGTGCCACTGGTTTTATTAATAATTTGCATTTCCCTGACGACTAAAGAAGTTGACCATCTTTTCCGTGCTTACTGGTACATCTTCTTTAGTGAAGTGTCTGTTTAAATCTTTTGCCCACTTTTAATTGAGGTTTTTTTTATTTTTTGTCTTTTTCTATTGATTTGCAGAAATTCTTCTGGATGCAAGTTCTTTGTCGGATATATTGAATTTGCCTTTTCATTTTCTAAAGAATGTCTTTCAAGACTAGAAGTATTTAATTATGATAAAATATGATTGATCAGATTTTCTTTTATGATTCACACCTTTTGCATCCTGCCTAAGAAAACACTGCCTCCCCCAAGGTGGTGAAGAATTTCTCCTCTGTTTTCTTCTAGAAGTTTTATAGTTTTAAGTTTTACATTCAGCTCTATGATTCATTTTGAGTTAATTTTTACATGTGCTATGTTGTAAGGGTCTAGGGTTTTTTCCCCAAATAAATATCCACTTGTCCCAGCACCATTGCTGAAAAGACTATTATTTTTCTATTGAAATAACTTGGCTGCTTTGTCAAAAGTTAACTGATCTTACAAAGTGTGGGACCATTCTGGACTTCCTATTCGTTTTCACTGATATTTGTGGTTATACCGTCTTGATTCTGTTGAGAGTCAGAGAAAATACCTAGCTGATTTGAAATGGTCTTAATTATTTTAAATTTACTCAGACATTTAAATGAGCCAGCCTATGATCTATCTTGGTGAATGTCCCACGCGCACTTAAGACGAATGTGTGCTCTGCTCTTGTCAGGAGGAGTGATCTCCACTGTGGCCTCATTGGTTGATGGGTGGATCAGTGTTCTTACCTATTCTGTTTTGTAAGGTTATCGATTACTGAGAGGAATGTTACAATCTCTACTGTAATTGTGGATTTGTCTTTTTTGTCCTTTCATTTTTGCCAGCTTTCACTTCAGTGTTTTTAGCCTCTGTTACTAGGTATATACAGACTTAGGTTTGTTATTTTTTTTTTATGAATTGTGCCCTTTATTATTATGAAATGATTGGTTTTTGCACTGTATGTGTTTTTTATTTCCTTTTCTTTTAACTTCTTTTTATTTATAGTCCATTTCTCCTAGATAGCATGTAGTCAGGTCTTGCTTTTTAAATTTAATCTGATAATCTCTACCTTTTTGATTGGAATTTTAAGTCCTTTTATATTTAATGTATTGTCAAAATGGCTGGTTTAAATCCTACCATCTTGCTAATTGCTTTCTATTTTATTCCATCCATCCTTTGCTCCTCTTTCCCCAGTTCCTTGTCTTGTTTTAGAATTAATTAAATATATACACAGGTATATAATTACTTAATAACATATATTACATATATAAATATAAATTTTGTATTTATAAACTAATATAGATGTATATAATTAATTATATATTAAATTTATATATTAATGTAAATTATTTATATACATTATATATATGTATAAAACAACGTGTATTTTTAGTATTGCATTTTATTTCCACTACTGACTAGCTACACATCTTTTTCATCTTTTTTTAAAATAAATTTATTTATTTAATTTATTTATTTTTGGCTGCATTGGGTCTTCATTGCTGCACACGGGCTTTCTCTAGTTGCGGTGAGCGGGGGCTACTTTCTTCATTGCGGTGCGTGAGCTTCTCATTGCGGTGGCTTCTCTTGTTGTGGAGCACGGGCAATAGGCGCGCGGGCTTCAGTAGTTTTGGCTCATGGGTTCTAGAGTGCAGGCTCAGTAGTTGTGGCACATGGGCTTAGCTGCTCTGTGGCATGTGGGATCTTCCTGGGCCAGGGCTCGAGCCCATGTCCCCTGCACTGGCAGGCGGATTCTTAACCACTGTGCCACCAGGGAAGTTCCTATTTTGCCTTTATTTTTGAAGGACAGTTTGCTAGATGTGGAATTCATGGTTAACAAAGTTTTTCTTTCAGCAATTTGAATATACTGTTCCACTTTTTTCTAGCTTCCGTGGTGTTGACTAGTAATTGTATTGCTGTACTAGTAAATGTGATGGGCCACTTCTCTCTTGTTGCTTTCAAAATTTTCTCTTTCCCTTGAACATTTTGATGTGATTGTCTAGGTCTGGATCCCTTTGTGTTTACCCTACTGGGGTTTGTTGAGCTTCTGAGATCCATAGATTGTTTTTAGCCATTATTCTTTCAAACATTTTTTTCTGCCTCTCTCTCTCTCTCTCTCTCTCTCGTTTCCTTCTGAGACTTCAACTACACATATATTGGTGTTCCTAATGTCATCTCACAGATCTCTGAGGCTCTATTCATTTTCCTTCAATCCTTTTCCCCTTGTTCTTCAAATTGGTTAATTTCTATCAATCTACAAGTTTTTTGTTTTGTTTGGTCATTTTTTGTTTTTTCTGGCCGCACTGTGTGTCTTGAGGGATCTTAGTTCCCCAACCAGGGATTGAACCTGTGCCCTGGCAGTGAACGTGCCGAGTCCTAACCACTGGACCACCAGGGAATTCCCCTAACCTACAAGTTTTTTGCTTCCTTCCACTGGCATCTCAGCTCTGCTATTGAGCCCCTCTAGGAAACTTTCAACTTCAGAGTTTCCATTTGGCTTTTTTTTTTTCTTAATATAATTTCCGTTTCTTTATGACATTCTTTCTTCACTGGGCCATTGTCATCATATTTTTCATTAATTCTTTAAACATGGTCTCCTTCACTTTTTTGAACAAATTTATGAATGTTGCTTTGGAGTCTGTGCCAAATTCAACAGCTGTGGACATTCGAAGATTGTTTCCATTAACTGCTCTGTTCCTCAGTGTGGATCATACTTGCTTGTTTCTTTACGTGTCATGTAGTTTTCTGTTGAATGCTGGACATTATACTTTGTATATTATAGTAACTCTGGATCCTGACTCTCCCCGTCAGGGTGGTAGTTATTGTTTTATGTGTGTGTTTGTTTAGTAACTTTCTTTGACTAAATCTGTGAAGCCCTCTACTTTGTCTGTCCTGGCTCACTGCCATCACACCTGATCTCACAACCTCCCTGGCTCAGGGGCTGTGTGTCCTCCCCCGACCCCTGCATGTGCTCCCAGACCCAGGGTCCGGGGTTACACCACCTCTGTGGTATACAGCCCCTCCTGGGCCCCTACCCCCAGCTCCACCCTCTGCTCTGCCCACCTGCAAGCCTCCACTGACTCATCCTTTCCCTTTGCAGCGTCTGGCCAGCAGTTGCAGCCTGAAGAGCCAGATGCAGAGACCGTGGAGGACCAGTCAGTAAGTGAGGTCCAGGGAGGATGTGCCCCACTCGTAGCCCCCACCCCCTCCTTTCCTGGACTTGAGCAGAGCCCAAGTGGCTGAGGGTGACCTGATTCTCTCCTCCTGCCAGGTGACGGAAGGGTCTGTGGATGAGATCATTCGGCCCCGGCCACAGGGGTCCTCGCCCGTCTACGAGTACGTGACTGAGGGCGCCAGCTTCGGACTCCCGGTAAGCCTGCTCCACAGACAGCCACAGGCTCAGGGAAAGCTCAGGTGTGTGGCCACAGGTGACTACGCCTCCTGCATCCCCCTGTGTGGGCAACTCATGCACGCACCTGTGCAGCCACACAGCCCTGCCACAGCGGTGTCTGCTCGGCTGTCTTCTCTGACTCCTCGGTCCTTCACTGGAGACTTCCCATCAGCTGGCCAGGACACACTTGAGATGGCACACGTGTGTGTGCATGGGGAACAGACCTCGTGCTCCTGTGTGCGACAGGGCACAGGATATGTGCACACACGTGCCCTCTCTGACGAGGAGACACAGACAGGGTCCCGCGGCCACCCCTGGAGACACCTGGGGGAAGGCATGGACCAGGCGTGTTTACTAAAGGCCTCATTCTTTTTTCAGAATTGTTTACGTACTTACTTCTTTTGGTCGTGCCATGCAGCGGCATGTGGGATCTTAGTTCCCTGACCAGGGATCAAACCCGTGCCCCCTGCAGTGGAAGCACGGAGTCCTAACCACTGGACCGCCAGGGAAGTCCCAAAGACCTCCTTCTTGTACTGTTTCTTTTTTGCCCCCTCTACTTGCGGACACGGGGGCTGGGCCCTGTGGGAATCACAAAGGCCCAGAGTCACCTTCCCCCTGGAGGAACTCAGCTCCCCCTGCACACAGCACACTCTGGGGGATCTAGCCCCTGAGCTGGGGCTTCCCCGAGTCCCTCCCGTCCCCTGGGCTGGGGCAGGTTGGTGACCCGCTGTCTGTCGCTGCTGCAGGAAGACACGCCAAGGAGGCGGAGGTCCTGGTGGAAGCGGGATTCGGGGGACTCGCAGACGCTTTCCAGGATGAGCCGTCTGGAGGTGGGTGTGCCAGGAGCTGACGGGGGGCAGCCCGTCCACACGGGCTCCAGCGGGGGACGCCAGGGCCAGAGCGAGAAGGCGAGGAGCCGGAAAGCTGGCAGCGTGGCCCTGTGCCCTGCGGAAGGGCGTGCCACCTCCCTCATCAGGCCCGGGGGTGGGTAGGGGCTCCAGAACACTGGTCCAGGCCTGCCCCCAGACCCCTCTACTCTCATGGTGAAGGGCCCAGACTGCTGACCAGCTGGACCCGGGTGCACGGACCTCAGTGCTCTCAGCTGTACAGTGGGTACGGCTGCTGCCTGCTGCATCCAAGGCCACGGAGGGGCTGGGTTCTGTAGGCTCCCAGCCAGGAGGGTGCGCTGCCTGCTGTCATTGGTGGCCCCAGCAATTCTAACTCTCTCCCAGACCCAGAGGAGCTGTCGTGTCCGAGGTCAGGCTGGCCCTGCCGTTTCCGGTATTGTCAGCATTTACGGCCCTCCTTGGTCTGAGCACCAGCTGCCTTGTATGTGACTGGTGCTTGGAGTGAGGGTGGTGGTGAGCCAGGAGCTGATAAAGGAACGCTCTGGCCACGTGCAAGCAGAAGACTCTCCCCTCTGCTTGCCAAGCCCCGCTGGGCCCGGATGGTCGGGGCCGGGCTGCTCCTGAGTCCTGGCAGGTGGGGTCGGGGACAAGGGAGGCTGCTCCCAACTGAGACGGCAGCACCTGGCTTCCCCCAGAGCCTGGACCCCGTGCCCGGGCTCAGCTGCCCAATGACGGGAGGACTCTGGGGTCCCTGGCCTCAGGGGAGGCAGCCTCCCAGCAGCCACGCCCACTGTAGGGTAGGCGTATGCTCACTGAGGCCTGATGTGCTTCTGTTCTAGTCCACGCAGGAGGCGACGGAAGGGACACTGAAGACCAAGGTGGAGGCCGGAGCCAGTGGCTACATTGTCACGGGCGGCGGGGACCAGGGGATCTTTGTTAAGCAAGTGCTGAAGGAGTCCTCAGCTGCCAAGCTCTTCAGCCTGAGAGAAGGTGCCACGACCCCATCCCCATGTCCCCGTGGTCCCATCAGGATCGGGTGGGGCCTGAGGGGGACGGGCCACAGTGGGCTCAGATGAGTCCCTAGAGACTGCTTAGCTGTGTCCGGGCTGGGGCCACTCGCTCTGACAGGTTTTCTGCTTGGAAATGGGGGCTCCTTCCCACCCGGGACTCAAGAGAAGGAAGGGGCTGGGCAGCCTGAGCAGGGTCGCCTCCTCGGTCACGCACCCCTGTGGACCCCTCCCGTGAGGCCCGACGAGGTCCGGGGCACTAAGGTGCGGGGACCGCTCTGTCTTCGTCTAGGGGATCAGCTGCTCAGCACAACCATATTCTTTGACGACATTAAATACGAAGATGCTCTCAAAATCCTTCAGTACTCAGAGCCTTACAAGGTTCAGTTCACAATCAGGCGGCAACTTCCCGCCCGGGAGGACGATGAGGGAGCTTCCGGCGGTGCTCAGCGTGGCTCGAGGGGCAGCAAGAAGCAGGTGAGCTTGCATGGCCAGCAAAGCTGGCCCCGGCTGGGCTCCGGGTGCCCAGGCTGAGGCTGGGGGGGGACCCCCACTGCCCCCTCCCATCCCCGGAGCCCCTGCCTCCGACTCCCTGTACGGGGGCCCAAAAGGTGCTCTCTCCCTGTTTCAGGACCAGGATATCGCCGAAGGGCGCATGGAGACCCCCACGGAGACGCTGCAGGAGGATGGAGACCAGGAGAGGCTCATCTCCAAGCCCAGGGAGGGCAGAGGCAGGCAGCCCCAGAGGGAGCGGCTCTCCTGGCCCAAATTCCAAGCGCTGAAGAGCAAGCGTGGGCCAGGGCCCCGGAGGTCGCACAGCTCCTCGGAGGCCTGCGAGCGAGGGGACGTGCCTGACCTGTCCCCCACAAGCACAGACACGGAGGCCCAGCTCCCGGAAGCAGGGCCAGGCAGGCAGCAGAAGAGAAGTTTCTCGAACCTGAGATTCCGGGTGGGCTCAGGGAAGGGGCTGTCGGGCAGGGGAGCCCACGGGGGGACAGTCCAGGCTGGGGTCCTGGTGGAGACAGGGCCCCGGGATTCCGGGCGAGAGGCCTCCAGGGCTGCCGCCCATGGCGGGAGAGAAGACAGGACGGCAGGGGTGCCAGAGGCCGCTGAGCCCCCCACGGAGCCCGGCCTCCCCACTGAGGGAGCCCCCGGGGAAGGGGCGGGCCCAGCACCCAGACCCCGAAGAAAGACAAAAGAGGCCAAGGACAAGGGGGAGACTGTGCCCCAGGGAAAAGCCGGGCTGGGCCCAGCGCCAAGACAGAGCAGGGAGGGGGCCGGGGAAGGCACGCAGGCGCTGGAGGTCGGCATTGCCAGGCTGTCTCTGCAAGACTCAGCAGACCAAGGCATCCACCAAAACCACCAACCAGAATTCCACGTCCGCATACCCACTTTAAAGACACCCAGGTTTGGACTTTACAAAGAAAAAGTGCTTGAGAAAGGAGCCGTGACAGCTCTCCAGCGGGGACCACGACAGAGAAGGGCCTCTGCTGAGGGCACGGAGGCCAACGGGGAGGAGGCAGGGGAAGCAGAAAAGCACAGGCCCAGACAACCCGCAGTCCATCCGCCAGCGCAAGAGGGAGGAGAAATGGAGGAAGATGCAGCCCAGAAGAGAGACGAGGACAGAAAGGGCGGGGGCCCGCACACGGACGAAAAGGAGGGGAAGATGAAAATGCTAAGGGTCAAGCTGCCCTCCTTTGGGTGGTCGCCAACGAAGGAGGCAAAAGCAGACAAAGCGACACAACTCCAGGAAACAGAGAAGGAAAAGGAAAGCAGCATCACAGTACTAACGTTAGAGACAGACATAAAAGGCAAAGATGGACTAGAGAGACACAGCAAGTTCAAAATGCCCAAGTTCAAGATGCCGTCCTTTGGGGTGTCGGTACCCAGAAAGTCCGTCGAGGCCACCGTGGAGGTGTCCGTGCCCAAGGCCCAGTCCGAAGTGACCCTGCCCCCACTGCAGGCTGATGTCAAGACCACTGACGTTAGCATCGAGCTGCCCTCCGCCGAGCTGGAGGTCAAGGCAGCCGAGGTGGGCCTGAAGCTCCCGGAGGGCCACCTTCCCGAAGCGGAGCCCACGGAAGCGGCAGCTGAAATTGGACTAAAGGGCCACCTGTCCAAGGTGCAGATGCCCAGCATCAAGGTGCCCAAGGTGGACATCAAGGGGCCCAAACTGGACCTGAAGGACGCCAAGGGCGAGGTGACGACCCCCGACGTGGAGGTGTCTCTGCCCAGCGTGGAGGTGGACACCCAGGCCGCGGGCACCAAGCTGGAGGGCGACGTGTCCCTTGGGGACAAGGAGGTGGCTGCCAGAGACAGCAAGTTCAAAATGCCCAAGTTCAAGATGCCATCCTTCGGGGTGTCAGCGCCCAGCAAGTCCGTCCAGGCCGCCATGGAGGTGT